TTTTTTTGTTAAAAAAGAAACGTTTCGCCCCTCGTCCAAGAGGCTTCGCCTGTTTTTTCATGTAAACAGGGTGTGTTCTAAGACCCTGTTTACACGAAAACGATTTCTGGTGAAAATGGAAGAGGTTCGTTGCATTTGTTCTGTTCATTTACACAAAAATAGTGAATATTTTCTCTGACAATGGCACGATTTGAGAACAGGTTCCAGAGAGCAATGGTTCAAAAACATCCCAGTGTCCGTTGTCGTGTAAACAGAAAAAAAAGATATATTCTGTCAGGGAATCCCTGGCTCATGTGCAGTATGACGCAAAACATAACGGCTTCCTACAATCCACAGAAGAAGAAACTATCGACAATGGCGGATACCAAAGTATTGTTTGTGCTTATGCCTCTTATAAATCTAACTACGGCTCTTCAACACAGTGCTCATTTTCTACCTCTTTACTTAAATCATCGAAGACGGATCTCATACAGCTCCACTCTGTTACTTAACAGATGTATGCGAAGAAGAAACACGGCTAGGAGGCGCTACTGGACGTAACCTGGGAGGACAAGCCAGTGGTGGGATAACTTTGTAAACAACGTAGTTGGTGAAAAGGAATGGAGGGAGAAGCCATGTCGCTTGGAGTAAGGAACTTTGCCCTTACATCGAGGGGGAACGGACAGCCATGAGATCGCCGGTTGATGTCTTAAAAAAGGTGGACTGTACACTTTATTATTTAAGTGATGAGAGAAGAATCAGAAAAACAACCAACACTTTTGGTTTGTCATGAGCTAGAGTTTCAAGTTTCAAGAACATATCATCAACTAGTGACGCGGCGAGGGAATTACACCTTTCCCACGTCTACCGTTTCAGTGTAAACAAAGATTGTAATGAAAACGTTTTCATGTAAATGTATTAATAAAAATGGGGAAAAAGTTATGTTTTCATTGGATTGTTATCGTGTAAATAGTGCCTAATACAGCATTAATCAATGTTCTGCTCAGATTAGCCATTAGCTTGTCAGTTTGGGCAGAATTAAATCCTACTTCTCCCATCTGAAGTTCTTCAGAGCTATCTAGAACAAACATGATTTATTCACAACTTATCCATGAAACTCCACTTGAAAAGATCTAAACTAGCACTTTAATCCCTTAAATGTAAGCATGCCTCAGTCTGAAGCAGCCCTTTATAAATGCACCTCTTTATGACCAAACAAAATTAAAAAGGAGCAAACTTTTTATAGACCTAATTTTGTAGATACTAAACTCAGACAACTGCAACCAAAGCTAAGCTGAAGCTTTATGTGAAAGAGTGTTCTTTAATTATTTCAAGGCCATTAAACACAGCAAGAATCATAATTAGGAGAACAAGGTAAAATCTTCTTTCTGCACCTTAAGGGTACACCTGCAATACATTAATGTAATGATGCACACAGCTGTAGTCTAATAATAGTTGGATCTAGCAGTGCCTCGGTGATGTTGCAGAGAAATGAGCAACTTACACGTTCATACATTTTTCTACCTAGCTTCGGGTGCAGAAACAGAGATAATTACACTTAGAATACATTTTAAGTGAATACTTTTAAACAGGATTATAATTGACCGTTCTAGTAATAAAAAAAATAATAATAATAATACCACTGCATCATTTTGCTATGCTTATTTGGTGCAAATATAATGTACTGCAGTAGAAAGTTGAAAGAAGATTAAAAAAGTTGCAACATTGGTGCTAAATTTCCAAAAGTCAAGCAGAGCTCTCAGCCAAGTGATTAATAGCTTAACAAAGATGCAGTGTTTATCATTTATTATTTTTTGTAAGATGTAATCTAACTAATCAATCAGCATAAATGTATGTAAATAGACTAGAAGAGTAGAGTCATATGTTTCTTCATACAGGCCTCGAGTCAAGCTTTGTTGCCTCTAAGAAAAGCAACATGTCTGAACCAGTCCCGTCCCGCTGGCGTACATGGAAGCACAAATACTTTACAATATAGTAACTTGAGAACAAATAGTAAGAAAAATCCACAAATGTTTGAAATGCACGGAATAAAACACCAGATTATTAATCTTCGTATCTACTAATCTTTTAATAGATGAGATGAGTCAGTATTCAACCCCAGTAAACGCTGCAAAACATTTTTTTTTTGTTGGAGGAAATATAGTGAATATGGAGTTTATATTACTGCAGGTAAATAAATAAATAAACTAATAAAAAAAAAAAAAAAACAATCTCAACTGATTGGAAAAAGATTCATTTTCTCCAAAGACTGAGAGTGCCATCTAGCATCAGCAAGACAGAATAGCAACACTATACAATTGGCACTCTGAAAAATCCATGCTTTAAAAGGCAAAAACTTAAATCAGAAGGCTTTCAGCACTTTTGAACATATCTGGTAAAGTTCAGAAACAAAAGAGCGTTTTATTCTTCCAAAGAGTGTAATTTATCATTGTATGAAAAGCACAGGTGTGAGTCATTTTAGCTCAGCTCATCAGGTCCAGGGTAATGATTTTCCACATGCTGACACACAGAAACTGATTACCGGGGCATTTACAGAATATTAATTCATGTTATTAGTTGCACCTGTGCTGCTTCTGATATTATGAAAATCTGTATGATCAAGGAAAGAGACATTCTACATACAGATATAAAAAAATGTGCACACACAAGCAAAAATAATTAGCAGTAAATAGGACATCTTGAGTTAAAATGGTTTACTGCTAAAAGACAAAAGCTATATTATTATTTATCAAACGTTTTTTGTGATTATTTGTGTGTGTTTGTAAATTAAAAGCAATACTTACCCTATACAGATACAGCTGATTAGGGTGCCCAAAAATGCATATGTGAGAACAGAGCCCAAATTCTGAATCAGTCGTTTCTGAAGCATCAACGAAGACAATACAGTTAGTAACACTCGTGAAAAATTATTATTGATTTACAGTAAATCAATTTTGTAAGCATAAAAATGGAAATGAATGGATAAATTGTCTTTTCTACTTTGAGGGGGATGCTACAACAGCGGTCTCACCTGATTCAGGGTAAAAGCTCCGTAGAAGATGATAGTTGGCAGGAAGAGATCAAAAAGGACGTCTGGGTCAAAGGTCACCTGTAAAAGACAGCATGTTAGTTGATGCCTGACAGGGATCCTCTGGGAGTAAGACGACTCGGTTTACTGAATGCAACTCGCTGACAGATTGTACACAACGTTTACTTCTGTTTAGGCAGACAGGCACATGCTCCTTTTGATGATTCCCACAAAAAATGTTTTTCTTTTCACAAAAAGTGAATTATATCAGTTGTTGTTAATCGAAATAACGAGAAATTCAACACTTAAATTGGAGCACTAGAATAAATGCTTCATATAAGAACATTGAATTTTTTGGCATTTAATTGCCTAAAAGCCTGTTTGTTCTTTTGATTGAGTTTGGTACATTTAACTGAGTTTGCACTCACACTGCCAGTGTGTCCCGACTTCAAATGAGTAAAGCAAAGCACAATCCAAAGTGTCAAGCATAGCTGATAGAATTTACTTAAGAAATAAGCTAATTTAAGTATTACACACACGCTGTAGTATAACCAACAAGTTACTTTCAAGACAAATGAGGGAAATCATTTCTGTAGCTCATTCACCCTGATGCAAACCTCATCATCGTGGGCACATTTGTAAGCAAACAGTCATTTCAAACAGTAAGAAAGACACTTTATTTCCTGATTTCACCATCCCATAAGGTTTTCTTACTTTGCTCAAAATATAAACCCATGTCAATTTCATTTCAATCCAAATAAAAGATGTTAAAGAGACATATGGACCTTTAAAATCTGCCTTAAAACCCAAGGTCTGAATAATTTGCACAATAGTTTAGATGCAAAATACAGTCTCTAGAAATGTCTTATTTCCAGTGCACGTCGCATTTTAAGAATATTGCCCCAAGTGAATTAGCGAATACACTGAAAACTGCATGTTTTTTAAATTGCCGTATAAATCTACAGACCTCCTTGTAGAAATGGGCGAGTCCCTATTTTTTCCAGTAATTCAACATTTGAACTGTTAGTTAAAGCTACAAATTGTTCTGCTCCCATAACACTGCCCAGTATAAATTATTTTTTTTAGCTGCAATTACCCACGCTGCACAGTATCAATGCATTTTCTTTATTCTATGCAAGCAGCGTGTGATAAACACAAAACTAATACAGACTCTGCAATCAATAAATTATGCATATCCTGGTAGTTTTATTTTAAGGGCCACCTGCACCATGGAGTCGACGATGGAGGTATGCTGCATGCACTAATTGCCTCTTCAGCCGAGCAGCACTAAATTTAATCAGACCACAAACTTTAATGCTGTACTCCCCAGTGGCACATAATGGACTCAGTAATGCAATGAAATCCTTATCTCTCTCTGCTAGCTCCCCATATGCATCAGGCCTAATGGCTTGAAGGCTGCGTGCAGCCTGACCGATGTAATGGCCTCTGTGGTAGCCTCTGCTGGTTTGATAATGAGACCCCAGCTTTCACGACTGACCAAAGGAGTCGAAGCCATTAGTGAAGAGTTACACTTGGCCTGGATTATTTGCAAGGTTCATGACGTGCTTTCTCTCAGGTTGAAAAATCACCTTAAGATTAAACTATAAATTTCCAAATGCGCGCCCCGTTCTCTCAAGCTGGTTAGAGACTCTGTGGCTAAAGTGGTGATACAGCTTGTTGTTCTGCCTATGTAGTGTGAAATCTCTCTGATCAAACCACTAAAATGTGGAAGGAAGCTAGAAAACAGAACTTCAGTAAAACCCAAGGTAAATCTGAAAACTCTAATTTGTGTAGCAGTGGAGTCAGATTTTTTTCTTTAACGTTTATGACATTAACAGTTTGCAGCTCTGTAGCTTAAAGCAGCATCTTCCAACTGATAAACTGTTATGCGTTCAAAGTGGGTTGCATGATAAACGCCACCAAATGTATATTAGCACTTTGAACACAATCAGTTTCTAATACCACAACAGCATCAACCCAGTGAAAATATAGCAAAAGCTCTCTCTCAGAGGGAATCCCAGTATGGAAAACTGCTAAAAGGCATAAATCATTCAATCGTGACACATCACAGCAAGCATCCATGAGACTGAAAAGAGATCAGCAGTTTACCCAGAACCACAAATACCCACCAGAGGAAATCAAACACAGTCTATAGAAAATAGAAAAAAGTATAAGTGAAACTGTAATGGGTATCAGGAGAATTAATGATCTCCATCTGAACAGATTAGGTAAACAACAAACAGCTCCAGTGCTGCACCTGCTGGCAGATGTTGGCTAATGCTAATGTGGTGCTGGAAACAACCAAACCCTCCAGCTCCCCCTTTGTTGAATATATGTCATCATTTTTCAAAACAGATCCTAACCAGTGACAGCAGGAACATTTGTTAAACTATGTTTAGCATCTAAAATGGCAGAAAGATGTTAAAAGACGCCCATCCTTCCTCTCGTAAAAACAACTTCAAGTGTTTTGCTAAGTTCAGAATTTATTTAGACAAGGTTGTCTGCCTTAAAAAACAACCATAAATGTGACATAAAGCATTCTAATACAGAGGCTTCAGGTGAGCTGCCAAAGAAATCCACTGACGAAAGTGGGTTTATAAAACTAATAAATTATGTTAAGAGACTAAAAGGAAGAAATTTTATTTTGAAACATTAATTCTTTGCTTTTTATCTGGGGTTGCGATAGCTTAGTGGTCAGTGTCGCGGTCTTGCAATCCTGAGGTTGTGTGTTTGAGCCCTGGCTGCATCTGAAAGGGCATCAAGAGTAAAACAATTGCCAAACGTTTTCATGCAAGTTTTCTTACTGTGGCAACACCTGCAGAAGGGAGCAGCCGAATGAAGCTTACCATTTCACAAAGCTGCTCGTACCTTTCTGCACTTATTCATGACCAGATAATTAGACAAATCAATGTTGCAGGAGCTTTTATGAACAGATTTAATTTTATGTCAAACTTTGTGGAGATTTAGGTCTCAATATGTATCAGAATCAGCTTTATTGTCATTGCACAGTTAAGCGCAGCGAAAATACATGTAAGTGTATGTATGTACAGTATGTATATGTATGCTTAGGTCTGTGTGTGTGTATGTATGTATTTATGTTTGTATGTATACATACATAAATATATACGTATATACATGCATACATACATACACACACACATATATACATGTCTATTTATGTCAGGTGGACTCATGGACTCATGTCTATTTATGTATGTATGTATGTATGTATGTATGTATGTATGTATGTATGTATGTATGTATGTATGTATGTATGTATGTATGTATGTATATATATATATATATATATATATATATATATATATATATATATATATATATACAGATTGTAGTGTGAAGCACTTTGAGTGTCTTGACAAGATAGAAAGGTGCTATACAAGTACAGTCCATTTACCTTATACATATATTACACCTCTAGTTGCAGAAAGAGGGTCACCTGCATCATGAAAGACCCCACTCACCCAGTACACACACTTTTTGCCCTGCTTCTCTCAGGAAGGAGTTCAAGGAGCATTAATTGTACAGGTAGAACCACTAGACTGAGGAACAGCTTCTATCCTTCTATCTATCTATCTATCTATCTATCTATCTATCTA